AACATTTTAGATTAATAACTATTTACAGCAGAGCCCAAGATCCACCCATATTCATAAGATACAAAAAAATAAAAAGGGAAAGAATTACAACAATAAAGGTTGTATGCCAGGAAAATAAAACTGACCAAAACAATATTAGAGGCACAAAATTGTATTGTCCTTTTGGTGGCACCATGTGTTTAGGTTGTGGTACTCTTCAAAAAGGCAATGTTCAGCAAGTAATACATCCCAAGTAAACATAACTGGGGTCGATGGATCCAACCACATTTTCAGGATAACATTTTGGCAGCAGTAAGAGCAGTGGACAGACTCCTTTTTTTGATTGAAGGACAGTGAGAGTGAAGAATTATCCAGCAAGAGAAAAAGCAGTGGGTCCTTTTGGATCCAAGTCCTCAGAAAATCAGACAATAAGTCCCGTATCAAGGACCAGAACAACACAATTTGGGAACAGTCCCAGAACATATGAATATATGTACCTTGACTTGAGCTGCTACACAGGTGACAAAAGGGTCAGACATTCTTTTCAGTTTATATAATAAACGGAGTGGCATAGATTAACTTATAATGAATCATTTGGTGAGCTGGGCTTTTTGAGGTAGCAAAACAGTTCCCCCTGCCCAGACAGTGTCCCAATCAATCACAGTGTTAAGTTCTCTCTCCCCGAAACTCTCAGTCGGAATGTTTGAATACTGTTGTACCACAAGTGATTTATAAATAGTTACATTGAAATTTAAGAATTCTATTGGAATCTGAATTCTGAATCACGCACAACCTTGATACATAGATGCCTCTCTGCACAGATCCTTACGTCTGTATAGTGTACAGCAGGGTTGCTCAATAGGCGGCCCGCGGGCCACATGCGGCCCGCGCTAATTTCAAATAATGTGGCATGAAAATTCAAACGCAGCATCAGAAAGCGACATTCACTTACATCGTGTCTACACCGGACGCGAGCGGCGCGACGCAACAAAATACAATAAAACCCATTATCAGTGATGCTGTCTACACTGGATGCAAACAGTAAACTGCATGGACAGTAAACTGCTGACTCATTCTATTTATGACATACTGACACAAAGTTCAAATGATTTGCAATGCTTTGTCACGTCCAGTGTAGATACGATGTGACAGCAAAAACATGGCGAGTGTGAAGAAAAGAAAAGAGGACACGGAAAATAGATGATTCAAATGTGAATGGACTGAACAGTTTTGAGTGAGTGACTGATATCTTTGTTATGGAATACACGTGTTGGTTCGCAGTGAGTTCACAGTTTTAACGTACAAGTTTGCTTTAATTTATTTTCAAGATCTGAGGTAAAATATCTATTGTTGCTATTGTTGTCTATAAAGATAACGCAAAATAATATTCAAACTCACATTAGACACTTTTAACATTGAATAAAGCACATAATCATTACCTGAGATTATCACTGTCATATTTTGTATGTTGTTCCTGCCGCGACGTCGCAGAAAATAAAAACCATTCCTAAAATAGAATCCCATGTCGCTTATTGTCACGTGTCGCTGTCG